AAAATAAAAACAATAAAGCACATGAACTGTCGTCCAATAGGCACTAGAACAGGAAACCGAGAGAAGTCACTGGTTCCTAAAGAAGCCTGTTCCTGACTGCACCACACCCCCCAGGACGGACTCGGGCAGGCCTGGCTTCAAAGGCAGCTCCACCCCTTCAAGTTCTCATTAAAGGACCCAGAACTCACTCGGCACCCAGCACCAAGCCTGGCCTGGCTGCTCCTGGTTTCACAGAGCCCAGAGCTCCTTATGTCCTGCTCATTCTGTTCTTCTAGTCTAGAGTATCGGAGAGCTTTGAGAACTCTGCCTTCCTCCCTGAGCCCTCCCCAGGATGGATATTCCCATGTGGTCTTTCACCCTGTAATTCTTTGAATTATGGCATATTCTGCCTTTAAATTGCCAAGAAGGGCTGTTTACCGACCACTTACACCTTAGTGCGAATTTAACTAGCTAACCTTCCTCTCCTCCTGGAACTGAGCAGAAATCCAGGCAACAGGAAAGGGGTGAAGATGTTGCAGAGAGGAAGAGGATGGCCTAAGGGGGCTTTAGACAGTCACAGAGGAATCACCCAAGGGTCTGAGTGAGGCCCCAGAGGGTCAAGGCTCCAGGATCTAGATCTGGTGGCAATGTAGCGATCAGACGAAAGTGCTGTCAACCACTCAGCAGAAAGCTGAAGCAGGAGAGTCCCATGTGCCCGCCCCTTGCCCTGACCTGCCCACCTCCAACTGATGCGTTTTTGACTGCCTGGCTGTGACTAAGCTTCAAAATTCCCACCATTCCTTCTAAAGTGGATAGCAAAGTGAAGGGGAGACCTTGGACTGGATAAAAATAGCCCCAGACCGGGTGCTGGGACTGTCATTGTGCAAGACAAATAAGGGTGGTCTCCATCCTGGGGCTGCACAACACAGTGGGAAGGCGCAGGCTCTCAGGACAGAGGGAGACAAGGGGGCTGGGGCAGTGCCGACAGCTGGCTGGAATGGTTTCTGGGTGGTCTACAGAGTTTGCTGGGTGGTCACAGGGATGAGCACGTGGCCCAGGGCCACTAGCCAGCCCCTCACCCCTATCCTTGGTACTTAAATTGGGACTGGCTGCCTCCAGGCTCCTTTCTTATTTTTCAATCCTCATCCAAGGACATTTTTTTAAATGGTTTTAGAGAAAGAGAAAAGGAGAGAGGGAGAAAGGGAGAGAGAGAAACATTGACTGGTTGCCTTCTTGTCCTCACCCTGACTGGGGATCAAACCTGCAACCTGGGTATGTGCCCTGACCAGGAATTGAACCTTGACCTTTTGGTCTACTGAATTACCTATTTACCAACCAGCTGAGCCACACCAGCCAGGGCCCAAGACTCCTTTCCATCACTGTACACTGCCCCCAGGGTGTGCCTCCCAGTAGGGGGTGGGAGCCCTTGCTGTGGAATGACAGGCAGGGCCCTCAGGGTGGAGAGCTGGGCAGTCACACTGCTCAGGCTCCCATAGCCTGCCTGCCACTTGCAATTTGTGACTTTGGGCACTGGCGCAGCAATGAGCCTCAGTTTACTCACCTATAAAATAGGAGAATCACATCTACGTCCCTGGGTTGTGACAGAATCAATGAGATGGAGAATGAACAGCGCTTAGCAAAGTACTAAGTAGTGAGCGTCAATACCTGCCAACTGTTATTATCTGCCAGCAGCATTATTATCTGTCCTTGAACATAAGATGCCCTGCCCTGGTGCAACACATTCTGCCCCTCACCTTCCTGCCCTGGGGCACCACCCTACATTCCGTCTTTGCAGGATGACTACTGCCTACATCATCCACAGAAACAGTCGCCCTTCTGGGCCTTTCCCCCACCCTACAGGGCCTGCCTCCCTGAGCCTGTTCTCCAGGGTGACAGCCACTGCAGCCTCAAGTCTGTGAGCTCCCGGAGGGGGGGGGGGGGGCAGTGCCGCCCAGTCCGCTGTCAGACTCTCACAGCACAAGTAAACTGGAAGAGCCTAGAGCAGGAGGAGACGCGTGTTGTCCTGGAAAGCGACTGAACAACCACAGTGGGGAACTTCACTGGCCTACTAGGACCACTAGAACTCAGACAAAAGCCCAGCGCACCCCATTCAATCTCTTCTCCACAGGAAATCCCAAACTTCTCCCCCAGTTTCTTCAGCCCCTTAGAATTCCAAAGCCACTGGATGCCAAATTTTCTCATGAGAACCACACAGTACTAGTCCACAGTAGAGAGCAGCAAGGTCCTTCTCAGTGGCCAGAACCAAAGATTGCTCTGGGATAACTGCGGGAATCCCAAACAGCAGGCAACCCAAAGGCAGCCAAACCCAAAGGCCCCAGGGTCTTCAGAGACCTCCTAGCCTCCAGGGGGCGCTCTCTCTTGGGAACCAGGTAAGGGAGGGGCCTCCAGCAGATGGTCTGGAGTCTGCTCCTTCTTGCCTGACCCACACACCTGGCCCATTCTGGGATGACAGAGATCAAAAGACTATGCTTGTAAACACAGTGTGAAACTATAAGGCACGTCCGCACACTGGAGTTTCCATCACTAACAATGGGGAAAAGGGGATGTCAAAAAAATTACCTATCTACCCAACTGCCAATGCGATCCATCTAAATTAAACACACTCTGAGCGTTGGCAGGGACACAGAATCATGCATTCAGACATACTTTTAATCCTCTTCAAAATCATATGTGGCTTCCAGCCCTACAGTCACAGGGGAAAAAGAAAGGATTAAAATGTTAACTCCTTGTGTTTATCTAGTTAAGTCTTTCAGGGGAAGGCACTATAACCAAGTAGGGCCAAAAGGCAAAGAAAACAAAGTGGCCCAATGAGAGGGGCCCCCAGAAACCAGAAGGCAAGCAGGCTCCAGAAGACCTAGGTCCCAGGACCAGCTGTGCCGTAAGCCACACTAACACGACCCTGCCAAGTCACTTCCTGCTCCAGCTTCCAGTTTATCTACCTTTCAAATTTCTTTTTGTTTTAGAGCATTTTCTACTCTTTTTAAAAGTTATTATTTGTTTATTTTTAGAAGTTAAGAGAAGGAGAAAAGGGGGGGAAAGAAACAGCAACTGGGTTGCCCTGACCCGGAATCGAACCAGCAACCTTTCACTTTGCAGGATGATGCTCAACCAACTGAGCCACGCCAGCCAAGGCTAGTTTCTCTAGCTTTGAAACAGATGTACCACCTTTTGCCATGTATAATGCACTCCCATGTATAGTGCGCGCCCACGTTTTTTGGCCCAAACTTTCAGGAAAAAGATTTTTCATTTTAATTTCTTAATTAAATTTTTACTTATTTATATTTAGAAACAAAACCAATGATCATATTCCAGGGTATTATTTTGCATACAGATATCATTATGGCCTTCTAGAGTTATACTTTTAATGTATAAGCATAAATAAAAGAATTTAAAACATACAAGGATAGCCCTGGCTGGTGTAGCTCAGTGGATTGAGCACAGGCCTGTGAAGCAGGGGGTCGCCGGTTCGATTTCCAGTCAGGGCACATGCCTGGGTTGTGGGCCAGGACTCCAGCAGGAGACACATGAGAGGCAACCACACAGTGATGTTTCTCTCCCATTCTTTCTCCTTCCCTTCCCCTCTCTCTAAAAATAAATAAATAAAATATTTAAAAATATAAAATAAAACATATAAGGATAAATAAAAGAATCAAAGACACATATAGATATGGAAATTAGTGCTACCTATGTATAATTATATACTTATTTTTCCCTCAAAATTTTGGGAAAAAGAAGTGCACATTATCCATAGCAAAATACAGTGGTCGTGTGACCTCCCAAGGCTGTGACAGAACAGAGAGCGGAGGGAAGGGCTCTGCAGATGGGGAATAACCAGGCAGCCCTGAGAAGCCAGGTTTGTGTAGCCACAGGGAGAACACGGCAGGAATGACAGCCAGGACTTTGTACAGGATGAGTTTATCAGAGAGACACTCAGGCCTTGCAGACAAATGGGAGGCAGAACAGTGGAGCACAGTGACAGATGGCTCTGCTACTACGTGCCGCTGGCCAAGTTCCTTTACTGCCGTACTGAAGCAAAGGGGCCCAAGCACAGGCCATGGCCCAATGTAAACACTCCACAGCTCTGGTCACTGTTGTTGCTATCACTGTGAGGGCGCAGGGCACAGGAAAGACAGTTCAGATGCAGACAGAGGTCATCAGGCCGAGACCCGGCCATGCCCACTTGGGAAGCAGCTCCAGCCCGAGGGGCTGTCTGCCACACCATGCAGCACAGGGCCCGGCCACGAGGCCCAGCTACCCTCACAGGGTACCACTGCCATGTTCCCAAAGGGTCCCACAGGCCTTGGCATCCCTGGCCCTCCTGGCCCTCCATGCCCCCCCCCTCACCACCAACTTCTTATTTCTTAAGGAAAGCTCAATTTAGGTATTTCTTGAATGTCCCCACAGCGAACTCAATTGCAAGGGGTGGGAGCTCCAAACCAGCATTCTCTCTGCAAGCTAGCCCAGCACCCGCTGCACAAAGACAGTCAGGGAAACCACTGGCCTCTCATAAACTCCCTGCTTACCAAACCCTCCCCAAAACTTCTTGCACCTGCTCCATTTCCCTCTCTTCTGACCCTCTGCATAGGTCCTTCCTCAGAGTGGGGACAGAAGAAGAAACCCATGAAGAGAACTGTACATTAACACATCCATCTGCTGCTTCTCAGCAGCTGGGGGAAGAGGATCCCTTGCTAAAATGAGAAATGAAGAGCTGTGCTGGGCTTCCTCATTTCCATGAGACAAGGTAGAGACAACTCGTTAAAACATGGATTGACAGGCACTTTAAGTTGTTATCTTCAGGTCCGATTCATAGAGAGTGTTCTGTTCTTAAACCCTGGAACACCGGAGATGAAGACATGAGCAGTCTTCACATCCAAAATGTGGGAGGAAAAGGGGAAGAAAAGTGGGAATATCAAAAAAGGCTTCCATCAAGCACCACTCCCACCTGTCCCCGTCTGTAAAGTTCAACACAACAGCAACATGCAAAGAAAACAAATGCCAACCTGAGAATTCACCCGGAGCAGTGATGAGGGAGTTGGTGGCCTCTGTTTCAGTGTAAGACAATGTGGAATCAGACAGATCTGTGGGAGGAAAGGGAAAGAGAACTTAGCCGGCTGTGGGGCACACCTCCCTCTTCTGCTTTCTCACGCATCTGCGTGCACGTGTGTGCATGCAAGAGCCTGCAAAGGACAGCGGGTCCCTCCCAACTTTCTGATGCCACTCTGTAACCCTGTCCCATGATTATATGAGACGAGGCCAGCCGGCCCTGGAACTCTTCTGGAAAATGCTGACTGCTGCAGCCCTGGCACCTGAAAGTTTCAATCGCTTTGACCACAGAAATAACCCAAGTTCAGGGGACTGAGCAAGTAGCAACTTGGAGCCTCCTTGGTTAAGGTTAAATTAAGCCCCTAAACAATTCATAGCTGGCTGCTGTACTTAATTACAACCATTAAAATTCTTGAAGTTGTTCCTTCTTGCTTCCTTCCTTCCTTCCTTCCTTCCTTCCTCTCACTGGAGCTGAGGAAACTCTGTTTTAACAAGTCACCAGCCATCCTCACTCTGTCCCGCTACACCCCTCTAATTAAGGGCTCAAGCATTTGCTGGAAGATTAACTTTTTTCTCTCTCTCTCCCCTCCTCCACTCCTTAACATCCAAACCTGCTCACAGAGCAATTTTCAATGCCTGGACTGTTTTTTTTTTTAAGGCAGTCTTTTTAAGTAGTTTTAAGTACTTCATATGGCGTGCATTATTTGTTTTCCCCTGTCTGCAGTGCAGTTAGATGGGGAAAGGAAAATCTTTTGCACGTTTTTTCTTGGACACTGAGTTACTAGCTTGACAAGCCGATGCCTTCTGGGGCAGGCAGACTTGGAAAATTTTTCCTGGGCCTGTGCCTCCTGCTACCAGCAATGGGGTGCTGTCCCTGTTAAGGGACAGGCCTGTCCAGGAGTTGGGAGGCATGTTCTGTAAGGTCTGCAGCACCTTCATCATCGTCTCACCCAGCACAACCCTGGTCTGGCTCAGCTGGTCCCACCAGGCTCAGGAGAGGCACCCCGAGCTGGGGATTCCTAGGGCAAAAACTGTTAGCCATCAGCCTAGGCCCTCACTGGCCAGGATTCCACTCGATCCTGCAGGGTTATTTTTTTCCTTTTACCACATGGCTTGGAGAGTGGGAAGATGAGACATTAACCAGTTTGGCCTCTTTTTTCTTTTCGTTTCCCACTTGCCAGATGCTGACTGGGTGTCCTGGGTTTTATTTTGTTTTTTGGTCTCATGTGATCACAGAGGCTTAGAAGTGAACTGACTTTTTGTTTATGAAAAAGCAACAATGCAAGGAAAAGAAAATAATACCCAAAAAATAACTCGGACTATTTTTCAGGACACGAAAAAGTTATCTGCTGGTAAAATGTGTTGGGAGGAAAATAAGGACAGACGGAAAATCTCTTTTAAAAAAATCTCAATGCCTCAGGGGGACCTTCTGAAGATCATTGCTTTTAATACCAAATGTTCCCAAAGTGTTCAGCACCCCATGTTTTGCTGCCACTTCTTGTTTGAAGAAGCACCATCACAGGCTGAACCTACTTCTTGGTGAACCACTGTGGAGCCAACACAGATAGCTTTTTGAGGTTCCCAGGAGTGGGAACAGCGGGCAGCTTCTGCCTTTCTCAGCTATTGCAGTAAGTCCCTACAGTGCACTCTCCAAACCCTCATGTCTGGTGCTTCTAGGGAGGCCCTTGAAGTCTGAAGCATCTTCTCATTGTTGTAGAAAAAGAATACCCCGCACCTTGATCATGCTGCTCAAGCCCTAAGGACAGATCCCAGCTGGAAGTTGGAGCCCCAGATTCAAGTCCCTAGCCAGCGAGACCAGGGGTCATCACCTTTTTCTACAAAGGGCCCAATATTAAGCATTTTCAGCCTTGCAGGCCATACAATCTCTGCTGCAACTATCCAGCTTTGCCACTATAGTGTGGAAGCGGCCACAGACAATACAGAAACAGGTGAGAGTGGCTATGTTCCAGCAGAACTTTATTACGAACACTGAAATTTGAATTTCATATAATTTTCACATGTCATGAAATAGTATTCTTCTTTCGACTTTGTAAAAACCATCTAAAGTAAAAACCATTCCTAGCTCCCAGATGACACAAAAACAGATGGCAGGCTGTTGTTTGCAGACCCCTGAGCTTTGTGACTACCAGCAAGTGTCACTTCCTCTCTCTAGGCCTCACTTGTCCCATTCATAAAATAACCAGGACACCTGTTGACTTCCAAATGGTCACTCTGCAGGGCTAAGAGGTGTCCAGATTTTTGCTGCTTTATCACAGGCTGACCCACAATTCCTTAGGGCAATGATCCTTGACTTTCAAACTGAGGTACTACTTTGCTAAAAACATTTGAGGATTATTTCCCCCGCTCTAATGGAACGAGGGATTGTCTAAGTGACTCGTACAATTATGCTGACTTAGGAAATGCTGAGACAATCCTGTGAGGGAAGGATGGGGAACCAGCGGGCTGAACAGGGGGCTTGCTCTGGGTTTCCACCTCAGCCCTGCTGTTCATTAGCTGGGCAGCCACCCCATCCTTCAGTCTGGTCCCCCTCTATGAAGTGACAGGGTCCAACCAAATGACCGCTCCAGTTCTCCAGGGAACTAAATAAAGACCCTGCATCCATGGGATGACCATATGTCCAGAAAAATAATGAGGACGTTGCTATTGTTAAGCCACTGACTCACACACCATCCTGTCCTGGGACAGCCTGGGACAGCCCCTGTCCTCCTAAACTGAGGAGGTCAAACTCCTAGAGGGGCCTGGTGGGCTCTTCTGACTCCAGAGGAGGGCCTGGAAGGAAAGCTAGATCGGATGCCTGAGAGTTGACAACACTTAGGAGGGACCTCCCAGACGATGCTGACACACAGTACTGGGAAGAGAACTTTACCAAAACAAAACAAAACCCACTTCTTGTGGTCACTTGATGGAATGTGTTAGCATCACTGCCATGCTATCTGACTTTTAAAGCTTAAGTCCCACGGGAACTGCATGGGTCACAAAGCCACTCTCTCTCCTGGTTCTATCAAAGCCAAACTACCTTGCCCCACCACCAGGATTCTCTGCTGGAGGAAACAAGACGGCCAGGAAACCAAGCCTTCTCTGTGTCTAATGCCATACACACTGACTACAGAATACAAGCTGCTCACCTAGCCTCAAGGTTTACAGAAAACATACTCTACCTCTGAATGGGAACTGTCTGCAATGACATAACCACCTCGACTAAACACCATGCCAGGGGCTTTCTGTAGCAATACACATGCTTTCTAAATGTTTCAATTGCTGCTGTTTCTGCCCAGGTAAATTTCTTGGCTTAACCAGGGAAAATACCTACTGCTCCTCTCAATAGTGACTTCTTGCTCAACATATCTGTCATAACAATTAGTACACATGAAAGGAGAACAACCTAAGACTGGGGGAGGGAGAGAAAGGAGAAGAGACAAATACCAACCCACCTCCAATGACATGCTTAGGTTGAAACCCATTCATCTCCCACGGGCCCATGTTTAAAGGTCACAGAGAGGTTAATGATGAGCTGAGGAATTCCAAGATGTAAATAGCCCTCTGGAGAAGCTGAGTCTGCTTTGGCCCAACTGAGGGTATATTTGTAAAACTTCACCCCATTTCAAAGGCAACCAGACCAGCTTTCTCTCTCCCCTCCAGCCCTTCAGCAGTGAGGCTGAAAGGGAGCCCAGGATGGACACACCTTCCCAGGGGTCGGAAGGAGGACACACTTACCCAGTGGCTTGTACTCTTCACAAGGAGACAGCCGAGAGTAGGGGGGTGGCGGTGATTCTGGAAGACAGAGACAGCACGTCACTATCAGGGTGGGAGAGTTCACACCTGGGGGTTCTTCTACATGCTTTCAATTATTGATTTCCTCCAATAATAAACCCAGCTCACAGGAAACCCTCCTGTTCTCCCATCACCTCTGCTACCCAAATCCACTAGAACATCACTGCCCAACAGTCAGGCCACAGGCATGGGGTCCAGACCTGGGGTCAGTCCCTGCTCTGCCACCTTTGGCTGTGTGATCTTGGGCAAGTTACTTCAATTCTTGGAGCTGTTTCCTCAGCTCCAGAATGGTGACAACAATCATATAAACCCCTCAGGTTTTCAAGGAGGGTGAAAGAAGATAAATGTATACAAAATGCCTAGTAGAGTTTTTGGTACTGTGGAAAAATATCTCCACAAACAATAACTATTATTATTGTAACAAGAGAAACGTAGGTGCAGGGCAAAATCAGAGTCAGGGTTGCTTGACGGAATAACAGACACTCAGGCCTTGGCTGATGTGGCTCAGTGGACTGAGCACCCAAGGGCTGCGGATTTGTTCCCAGTCAGGGCACATACCTGGGTTGCAGGGTCCCTGCTATGGGTGTGCAGGAGGCAACCGATGATGTATTTCCCTCACAACGATGTTTCTCTCCCTCCCTCCTTCCCGTCCCCTCTCTCTAAAAATAAGTAAATAATGTCTTACAAACAAACAAATGAACAAAAAGAATCGCAGATGCTCAGGTAAATCTGATTTTTGGAAATACTCACATATGGCGTAAGCTTTTGGTATATGTCCCTTGCAATCGTAAGAACATAATTATACGAGAAAGGTATGTGTAGTTTACCTGAAATTCCAACTTCCTGGGCATTTCGTATTTTTATTTGCTAAAGCTGGCAACTCTCATCAGAACTAAGTATGAATGCAGAGGCTCAGACACAGAAGCTCGCTTCCAAACAAGCTGCATTAGAACTAGCACTCTTTGGGCAGAGCAGGCACGCAAGACTGGCTGGGACCAGAGGAGCCAAACCCGGGTGCCTACACAGGAGACCTCATACCTGCCAGCGTGAGCCCTCGGCTTCAGTGCCCCACTCCGCAGAGAGGGTGGGACGTGAGCTCCCTACCGCTTCCAGCTCAGACCCTCCGTGACTCCGCATTGTCTACGGTATTTTTCTTTTGGTTTCCTTTCATTTGCCTAAAATACTCCTCCTTAAAAACATATACTTTGTCTTCAGAAGAATTCCTTAGCCTCTTGCTTTAGGGGAAGTAACAATTTGCTAAACTAAGTAACAATTTGCATGAATGAAATGACCCTTCATTTTCCCTAAATGAAACTAAACACCATCGAATCACAAAATAAAACAAACCCTCAGTGGTAGTAAAGTGGTAATAACTATTATTAGGCAGGTATCAGTAATGACACAAGGGGTAATAAGTGTTTTTTGCAATTATAATAAGGCGCAATTAGCTGCAGGAGCATTTGTTTTGCTCCGCACACCCTATGCAGCTTCAGCTCTTCCAGCCAGAAATTATTTCGACAAAGTGAAGGCGCTGCGGTCTAGAAACAGGGAACCTTTTGTGGACAGAATTTAGGGAGAAGGAAAAGTTAATAATGGAGTAGCTACTGGGAGAGAAGCAAACATTTGCAGAAAGCCTATGCTGTGCCTCTCTCCATGCCAGGCATTTTCAATTTTATTTACTGTGTTTTACCCCACTGAACCTTAGGTACAGAGTGGTTAATTATGCTCATTGGGCACTTCATCTTATTTCAACCTTTCTCAAAGACAAAATGGTCAACATAGTTCCAATTTTGCAGATGAGAAAACTGACTTGCCCAGCTGACTTACCCAGCCAGTGATGAGAGAACTAGGATGTGAGTCCAGGCCTGACTCTGCTCTACCCCCAAATGAGACAGGTAATCAACCCCATTCCCACCCCTTCGTCCCAGATGAATCACCTCATCTGCACAGAAAGTGCTCAGTAAGTATCTGTGGACAAAGACAACAGTGATGAGGACAATGGGAAAGTTGGGGGCAGCAGTGGGCACAGGGGTGGATAAAGAGGACCCAAGGGGCCAAAGGGGTGATCCATGGGAGACCTTAAACAGGACTCAGAGAGGGGAGCTGTTTGCCTTCAGTAAGAGTCACCTCATCCACAGGTCCTCAGTACTCACTTGGAGGGGACTGGAGATCAGACTTGAGTGAGGACCAGCTCCTCAGGACAAGAATCAAAACACAGGTAGGCCTAAAGTTCCACAGGGAAGGAGAACGGAGGCCAGTGCTCCCACTGTACAGAGAAGACTGAGGCATGGGCAGTGAGAGACTCCTCCAGGACCAGACAGGGAGCTGGTTACAGAGCCAGAGCCAGAAGCCAGGTCTACTGACCCCCAGCTTCATTCCCTTCCTTCTACCGCCCCACTAACTTATCAGAAGGACCACAATTACTGCGTTAGGGTTCCTCTGGCAAAAACCTGATTGGCTGAGGCCCAGGCCACCCAAAGAGGGAGGCTCTGAACACCTGCCCCTCCCCGACAAATCTGTCCCCCAAAGTGAAACTTAACAGCAATGAGCAGCAGTTGAAGTCAAGCCACTGTCATCAACACTGGGGACCACCTGGGCCTTGAATTGTGACACCTACCACCCATGGCCACCCCTGAGCCAGCAGGGTTCTCTCATGACATGAATGACACAGAAAGCAAATGTACTAACTTGAAATGCCAGGCACACCAGCGAGCAGGGGACTACAAAGCTCTCCGGAGAGACCCCCATTTGCTCCAGCAAAACTGTGCACAGAACAGTTTAACAACTGTGGGCACTGGAAGCTGATCAGTAACTTCCATACGAGGCAAGTAAAACAGTAAAAAGGCCTATAGACTTCATCCCCAATGGGGGGATTTAGAATGTCAGAGGTTTGCCTAACTCAACTTCTTGGAGTTCACCCAACCCAATTTCTTCTTGTAACTGATCAGGCAACTAAGACCCAGCGAGATATAGGACCATCCCAAAGCCACACAGAAAAGTAGGAAAGAGAAGTTACTTTATTTCAACTAAACAAAGTAGGCGGCCAGTTGGGGACCAATAGCAAGTTACTGTACCTTTGCTTAAAGAATTGAATTATCATTCACATACTCTTTAAGATTTACTCTTCTGAGGTATACAAGTTAGTGGTTTTCAGTATATTCAGAGTTGTGAGACCAACATCTAATTACAGAACATTTTCATCACCTCAAAATATACCCTGTCCCCATTAGCAGTCAGCCCCTTACTCCCCCAAACCCCAAACCCCAGACAACCACAAATCTCCTTTCTCTCTATGGATCTGCCTACTCCAGACACTTCACACAAATGGATCCATATACTCTATGGCCTTCTGGCTTATATATCATGTCTGACTTCTTCCATTTAGTGTAATGTTTTCAAGGTTCACCTACGTGGTAACACGAATTAGAATGGCACTCTTTTTTATGGCTGAATGATATTCCACTGTATGGATCTATCACATTTTGTTTATCCATTCATCAGCTAATGGACATTTGGGTCGTTTCCACTTTTGCGCTAGTAGGAATAATGCTGCTCTAAACAATACTGAGTGACCTTAAACTGGTACCTCCACTCCACTCCCACATGTCCAGGGAGTGGACCCAGGAGGATGGAGTTCCAGGACATTAAATCAGGTGAGTAAGGTGGGCACTCAGGTGGGACACATGGTATGGCAGATAAAAGGTCTGATAGGAAGGTATGAGCTGCTTCCAGGTCCTCTGTTCATTCCCTTCTTAAAAGCTCTCAGTGCTTACAAAAGTTGTGTTGATTTAAAAATAGTAACTTTCAGAGTCCTGCAGGCCCCTACAAAAGAAATTTGCATGGGGGAGGGAAAGAGAGAATGGGAAAGAGGTAAAAGAAGAGAGAAAAAGAGGAAGAGGGAGCAGAAGAAACCCGAGTCCTTTCAGACACCCAGCCTCAGGCATCAACTTTAGGAATCTCCTCCAACTTCCTCCAGCAGTGAGAGAGCCGTCAGCCAAGGGCCCCGTGTACCAGAAGGCTAATGCTCAGCTCAGCTAGGCCCAGACTGCCGCTGGTTAGGCCCCAGAGGGTACCTGGCCTTTTGGTATCTAATTCTCAAACCAGAAGACTTCACAGCCTATCTCAGTGGCTGGTAAAGTATCAGTTTGGGACACTACCTTCCACCCCATCCTTGCAGCCCAGCATCTTGCTTAGGAAAGGCTCCATTGGCTTCCCTCAGGGCCAACCAGTTTCCTCCCTACCAAGGAGTGGCTGTGGGGGGAGGTGGCCTCCCAGTGTCTGTCCCCTCCAACCCCAGAAGCTTTAGGCTGAACCCCAACCCCCAGGGTGAGAAACACAAAAAAGGAGCTCCTGGCACTTTAAGGCCAGCGGAGCCTAATTGCCCAGATTCCCCAGGCAGCCAGATAAACAGCGCAGCCGGCTGGCGCCAGCAAGAGGCAAACTGCACATTATCACCCCTTCCTCACCTCCAAGGAGGAGCTCAGAGGAGCTTGGAGGAGCAGAGCAGGCAGGCCAGAGGGGCGGGGCGGGGGCTTGGAAGCCCAACTTGAAATTGATCTGATTTCAAAGGGATAATGCCAGGCCAAATAAAAGGAAAACTTTCTAGCCCATTCTAATTCCTATAGTCCTGGCCTGGGAACCCTGTGTTTTCCTAGGCGGCCTCCTACAGTCATTTAAAAGTTCTCTCTCTCACTCTGTCTCTCTTTCCCTGGCGCAATTTGGATAATAGTAATTTACTGAATATAATTACAGAAAAAAAAAGCGGTGAAGCAAAGAGCAGATTTATTCCAAAGTTAATGGATACTTTCAGGAGAAAGGAGCTCTATAAACACAGGTTAGAACTGTGATTAAAGTATTTCTCCACATTTCCGTCCACATAGGCACCAAGCTCAGTGAACTGGCTTTTCCTGGGACTGAGAGAGACACACAAAAGGGAGGGATGCTAGGGGCCTGACTCCCACGGGGTGGGGGTGAGGGTGTGTGGAGGTGGAGACAGACTGGGCAAAGGGAGAAACCCACTTTCTGAGGTAAGAGTGGGGGAGAAGGCAGAGCTAGGGAGGTAGGCCTGTGTCACCTGACATCTGCCCGTCAGACCTCAGGGACTCTGTATGCTCTCACCACTTTACAGATGGGGAAAGAGGCTCAAAGAGGGAGCTGGCCCCACTGCCCTGAAACATGGTATGGGTACAGCAGGGTATTTGCTCTGAGCAGCAAGGGTCTTCAGTGCTCAGAAAGGGCCTCCAGTCAGTCACTGGGGATCCCTGTGAGGCTCAGGGGCACTAAAATGACTGATGCCAGGTGGCTGTCCCTCAGTGGCCTGCTGGGTGTTCCAGTCTACTCTCTAGCTGTCTGTCTGCCTGCCAGTCTGCCCCAGCCCTCTCCCCTAGAGCCCTGGAAGGAGCAGTCTCCTTATCAGGACGCGCACGACTGAGCTCCAGCTATGCACCCGCCCAGCTCTGGGAGCCAGACTGGCGGCCAGCTGGTGGGGGTGGGGTAAGCAGAAAAGGGCTCCCCCGTTCTCAGTCCCAGTCTCCTCAGCCCATGCCATTAGGCAGCGGAATGAAGCAAGAGGGTCTACCTGATTCATACTGGAAACTCTTCTCAGGCCATCAGTCCTCTCCACAGCCCCAAGATGGCTAGAAAGAGGAGCCCCTTGGACTGGAGAAGAGGAAGGAGAATAGATACAACCCCTGCAACAATCCCTCCTTCTGGGAGCAGGAAGGGAGTCAAGTGACAATGCTTACTCTAGAATTAGATGTGGAGAATGTTCCTAGAGCCACCGCCGCTGACCAGTAGAGAGACTAAGAGGGCAGGTTACTCATCCAAAGTCAAGTTGTATTACTGGCCAAACAGAGCCTAGGACCAAGTCTGTGGTTAAGCATCATCCCACTGCAGTTTGTCCTCAACTTATACCTGCCCAGGTCCACCAAACTCAAATCAACATCCAAGATGACTTCTCATCCAAGGAAGAGGGACAACCCATCCATGCTTAGCAAGGGTGTGTCCTGTCTGTGGTCTCCAACGTTTTCACTCCCCCACTTCCCACCCACATACCTGAGCTTGCCTGGCTCTTTGACTCTCAGCTGGGTCTTTCCTCCTCCTCAACACCCACCACCACTTACCCACCCTTCAAGGCTGCTTCAGGTTAGACCTATGGAGCTCCTGGAAGTGACCCTGTTACATACCTAACCCCGTAGCACTGTGATAGTTCACACCCCGGACCTGGCTCCTCTTCCCCCATCTCTACCCCATCTCCCCTGGAAGATTATATTTCTTGAGGACAGGGATCCTACTCATATTTCCATTCTCTCTGCTACTGCATCCAGCATGGTGGCTGGCATAGAGTAAGTGCTCAACAAATATATGCTGGCAGGCAGACATGAGAGAAAAAATACCTGCCAGGGCTTTCTAAAATAGCAGAGTGGGCCCCACCAAGGATCTCCCACTAAACAATAACGACCAGTTGATAGGGCAACCACAGAGAGGTCCTGTTCCCCAGAGACGGAGAGGAGACCAGGTATCGGAAGGGAAGAAGCCACTTCCAGGGGATGCTGTAAGCCACAGAAAGCCGCAGGCCAGAGATCAGAGACTGCCAAAAGCTCCTGAATCAGGCTTGGACCGACCAACAGAGAGGGCAGCCAGATGAGAACCACCTTTCCCCACCAAGCCCCATCAGCGAACCACCACGGAAGCACCTACTTTTTTCTTCCCCCTACAGCCACTTCCTCCTCACCCCCTTCACACTGGGAGTCAGGAAACCTGTGATCTGACCCTCTATGGACACTTAGGTTGGGGACTAACTACTGTCTCCAGAGGGACCAGAAAGGAGAAACTCAGAGCCCTCCGACATCCAATAGCCTATAGCTCTCTGACCCACACACCCTGAGAGAACCCCCGATGCCACCTAAGACACTACAGGTTAAAATGTGTGTTCTTGCAAGTTATTGGCCCCATCTGTCCTCACTTCTGCTCCCGCACCCAGGACATCCTCAGGTAAACTGGGCTGGGGGGGTGGGGGTGCATGAAGTCCCAGGTAGAAAACAAAGACAGGGAGTAGTTCTCAGATGTAATAAAATACCTGGCTTCCTCACCTATTCATAGATGCCCCCAGGACCACTCAACTGGACACAAAAGCTGGACACAGAACTGAAAATGATAGTGAAAACCCTGGCATTTGACACCCAAGAGATGGTGGGAGCAATCAGGTCAAGAGGGGGGTACCCACTTTGAGAGGAGTTGCCCTGCAAAAGCTTTGCTCCAAAGTACACAAAAGAACAAGTGGGGCAATTTACACACTTTGACTCTAACCACCAACTGTCTACACCCGATTTCACAACTTACATCTGCACTTGGATATAGCAAACTACAGCATAAGTATAGGCACATACTGGAAAATGCTACAGGCCTGAGCACCCCCATGTAGTTGGAGCCTACATTCCGCCCCTGAAGCTGCACAGAGAAAAACTCCACGGTGTACCCTTTTAAGTTTGCCAGTGCCTTGATGAAGTTGCCATTTGATGTGTGCGCCCAGATCCCCACTCCCTGGCAAGACTAGGGTGAGGCGCCTCCACTGGAGCTCCCATCAGGGGTACCCGAAGGAGCACCACACCTCTGCCAGCCCAAGGTGTCCGGGGTAAAAAGGCCACGCTAGGAAACTGGAAGGGGGCCCCGAGCCCGCCCTATAAGTCCCGCGCGGCGCGCTCACCTGGCCCGCAGAGCCGGCTGAAGTGGTAGGGGTTACAACACACAGTGGGGCCGTCGGCGGCAGCGGCGAAGCTGTGGCAGCCGCACAGGGGCTTCAGCTCCACGGCGTGCTGCAGGTCAGGCCAGCGGAAGAGGCGGCCGAGCAGCAGCTGCGGTGGCGCGGGCTGGCCGCCAAGGCAGAGGTCTGCGCGCGGCACCAACACGCACCCTCCCGGCACGCCGCCGCGGGACTCCACTGCTTCCAGCAGCGTGTCCAGCGAGCGCTCCTTGAGCCGCTTCAGGAGCGAGTACGTGACCGTCTTGAGTTCCTGCTCCAGCTGCAGCAGCCGCGAACGGGCTTCGCGACTCCGCCCTCCACCCGCCGGCTCCAGGGCCGCCCCGGCCAGGGGGTCGCCGGCGTCCCGGGGCGCACCCGCAACGTCCCGCTCCGAGAACAGACAACAAGTCACCGTCTCGCAGTCACTTTCGGGCAACCAGCCCGGGCCTCCCGGCTCCGCCGCGTCCAGCGGGGGACCTCCAGCGCCGGCCTCCAGCTCCGACTTGGGCCTCGGGGGGCCCCCTGCGCGTCGGCGCCTCCCTGCTCCCTGGGCGCCTCGCTGTCCCGCCGCGTCCCGGGGCCGCCGCGGGGCTACCGGGCGGACTTCCGAGCGGCCGCAGCCTCCGCCTTCTCGTGCCCGCGGGGCTGGCTCAGCTGGGTTGCCCAAGCTCCCATCCTCGTCGCCGCCACCGCTGCCGCCGCCTTCCTCCCGGTCGGGGACCACACGACTTCGCCAAAGTCGCCGCACCAGACCCGAGCGTTTGGACCTGAACATACGATATCCTTTGGCGCCGGGGGTGGGGGGGAGGCGGTCTCCGGTTACCGGGGGTCCGTTCCCTCAGCGAGGCGCCGGCTGCGCGGGCCGCAGCCCCACATGAAGCTCCGCTGCCGGGCGCCGTGCAGACCGCGCACAGCCTGTCGTCGAAGGGGCGTCACAGGGCTGCAACATGAGGGAGCTCGCGGAGGTGGGCCGGAGGGGAACACGCGCACGCCGAGCCCCAGTCTGAGCCCGGCCAGCGGCTACATGGACCCGGCGGCCGGGCTGCTCAGCAACTCCAGCCCCGGCGCTTGAGGGGAACCGCGGGCAGTGCGCCACCAGAAAGTCCCAGCATGGGCTAGAGAGCCTTCAAAAGTTGCGCGGCTGGTCCATGAGCACAAAGCGCTCGCGTCGAAACCCCCCCCCCCCAAATGTGTCTGGAAAGCCCTGCCTGTAAAACCCAAGCTCCTAACTACATGGGCTTTTCCTGCAGGATCCAAATGGCAGGCTTGTTGATACCCTCAGCTTCCTTCTTATTCCCTGCAAAAAGAGAAAAGAAAAAAAAAAAGGAAGAAAAAGAAACCCCAAACAAAACCAAAATCCCTGGAATTGCATGCAAGAAACGCCAACTCCGTCTCAGGTCCTAGGCGCTAGATGCACTTGGAGCGAGTTTCTCCCGAACGCGGGTGTCAACACATGAGTGGAAACTGTAAAAATCCCAAAGAGCTGCTTGGGAATCCTTAATTAAAAATGCAATCCACCGAAGCAGAGGTCGCAGCCCTCCCCACACTGCGCTCGGACGCCCGGGGCGCCGTGCTGCAGAGGTCGCCCCCCTCCCCCCTCCACAAAAAGTGCCTCCCGGTGGCCCCGCGGTCCCGGCGAAGTCTGGCGAGGCAGCGCCGGGCAGCTCTTTCTCTCGGCTCGGCTCCCTCGCTCGCTCCCCCGCTCGGCGCTCTCTCTCTTTTTTGTTCTCCTCAAACGCACACTGAGGGCCCCCGGAGGAGCGCCGCGGAGTCATTGGCTGCCTCCCATCATATGCCAGTCTAGACACTTTGGCGGCTCCGCGGCGCTGATTGTTGCGCAAACAAGGTTTCAAGTTTCTTAACTCTTAAAGGAGAACACGTCCCATTGCAGGGCCCGCGGCTACGAGGGGCCGGCTCCTGGGGCGGGCCGAGCCCTGGCCCCCGCCCCAACCCTGACTGCGCCCACACCCCGAGACGCGCGGCGAGCAGGGACGGGAGAGAGCACACACGCGCGCACACACAACAAACACGGTTACAAAAACCATGGGCGGGTGGCGCGAGGGCTCCACGAACCTACTGAGACTAGAATGCAAACGGGGCGCTTAGCCCCTCTCTGGCCTGAGCACAAACTTACAAATACACATTGCACTTTAAACTTGATGCAAACCCCCATCCCAGGAAAGGCTAATAAAAATGGGTGTGCGTGTGAGCTTTCCTGGCTTGCGTCTCTTGGGAACGGGGGGGGGGGGCTGGTTTGTTGGGGCAGCGAGATCTCGGTGATGGCCCGAGGTCTCCACATCCTCTGTGCAAAGTCAGGGGTCGCTCTACTGGGGCCAATGGGGGACTGTGGGACACTTCGCACACAGGGGCTCCACGTTCGCCCGAGGTGGGGAGTAGCTGAGGGTGGAGTAGAGGCGGAACTGTTTCCTACCCTGGAGCTTTCGCATGCCGCAGCCTAGCCTTGGAGCCAGGCGGGCCGCCAGCGGTCCTGGGCCCCCTCAAGGCTGACGCTTCCTCCTCCCCCTTCTCCATTCACTCTCTTCTTCAAGGAGAGGGATGTGGGTAAAGCTCGTGCTTTCTCTGGAGACGTTTCACCACTGAAATGGGGATGGGATTCCGCAGGGTCAAGGGACGAACTAACGCGCGCGGCGACAGAAGCGGGACGGCCGGCGCAGGAAGGGTTAAGGCCGCTCCAGGCCCTGGAGCCGGCGCGGCGGGGTACCTCCTCGGGCGCGCTCGCTCGTCCGTGGGTGGCAAAAGTTCAAGCTTGTAAAGTACGGATTGGTCCCGCGCGGAGGGAAAAAAGGCCTGGTCCCCCCTCCCCCCCCGGGCGCGGCGCCGATTGGCCCAGCCGCGGGGCGGGCACCGCCCTCTCTCTGTCGCGCGGCGGCACCGCCCCCGGCACGGCGCCCCGCCCCTTTCCGGGCAGCAAGCGAAGCCCAGCCCCACATTGAATGAAAGAAATTCCGCTACTCCCATTGGTTCGAGGCTGGGCGCCTTTCTCCCGCGGGGCTCTAGCTTAGGGGTCTTCCTTCCGTGTGCCCACGTTTAGGGCTGGCCTTGTGAGTGTCCTGTGCAGCGAGTCCTCGGCGGGGCGTCTGTGTGTACGCTGGAGCAAGGGCGGTGTTTGCAGGAAGGGCTCAGAACCCTTTGGTGAGCTTTACCTGCAGCCAGGTACTGTTCACGCTGCGTTCCCTAGAGAGGCAGCTGCTCTCCAGTATGGAGCACCGGGCTAAGAGGCTTCCCCACCTTCATCCCCTACTGCTTTGGCCGAATGAAAATAGTTGTCTTGGCTTGAGTTTCTTGTTTGAAAATGAGGATGCCCTGGCCTGGTAGCTCAGTTGGTTAGAGCTTCATCCTGATGTGCCAAGGTTGGGTTAGAACCGGGATCAGGGCACACGCAAGAATCTAACAATAAATGCATCAGTGGGTTGGAGCGGCAGGTCAATGTTTCTCTCTCTCTCTCTCTCTGTAATCAATAATTTTTTAAAAATTACTTTAAAAAATGGGGATGAAGCCTGCCTTGAGTTCTCCACAGAACTGTACAGATCCTAGGAGATCTGTACTGTGCACAAATCACAAATGAGCAGCAGGATTAATTTTACAAAATGAACACTACACCTGAGTAACCAGTACCCAGAAGACAATGTGACTGGCACCCCATAAGTCCCTTTCAGTCACTTCTTGCCCTCAGGGGAATTACTGTGTCTTAAAATACAAGGAGAAACTCAATGTATTTTTTTTATCAGGGTATTTGCTGGTTTGGCCATGGATTACAATAATAGCTCATAGTATTGAGTGACTACTATGGGCAAGGCAATGTTCAGAGCATTACAAAGATTTTAGTCATTTAATTCTCACAACAACCCTGATGAGGTACTATTATCTCTATTTCACAGATGAAGAAACTGGGTCACAGGAACTTATCCTTTCAATTTGCCATTGAAATGAAAATAGTGTTGAGAGTGCTAAATGCTAAAACCAGTATGGGTGCTCAACCCCAACGGCTAAAAAGTGGTGTGTGGAACCCTGACCTGTGTGGCTCAATTGGTTGGCCATTGCCACACAGAATAAAAGGACATGGGTTGGATTCCCAGTCAAGGCACATGCTTGGGTCGCAGGCACAGTCCCCAGTTGGGATGCTATGAGAGGCAACCAATCCATGTTTCTCACTAAGAGAAAAGGGGAGGGGAGGGGAGGGGGGAGGGGAGGGGAGGGGAGGGGAGGGGAGGGGAGGGAGGGGAGGGGAGGGGAGGGGAAAAAGAAAAGTGGAGTTTGGGTCAGAGCCCACCCTTCAGGGCAGTAATTTTCAAAATGTTTGTCCTTTGGGCCTGCTGAATCAAAGTGTTTTGGGGTAAGGGCTGGGACTCCATATAACACAACTTCGGGAGTAGGTATGGTTATTATCAGCAGTTTACAGATTAGGACAGTTTACAGATTAGGACACTGAGGCACAAGACATTCAGGAACTTGCACAAGCTTGTAATTAGTGGCTGAGGTGAAATTTGAACCAAGCCAGTTTGACCAGGGGAGGGATGTGTGTGAGTAACAGAAAGCAAAGGGAAAAGGACAGCAGAGAGGAAATGGGTGATCAGCTTCCACAAATGTCCATCACCTACACTTCAGGGCAAATATGTGAGCCGGTGGCTCCTCTCCCCCATCCCCCATACCTCCTGGAGGTACTACAGCATCCCTTTCTGCAGTGTTCCTGGGGAACTGCTCTGAGGGCCGTCTGGCCTGTGTGAGGGCCTCAAGCCTAGGAGAGACTCAAGCAGGGACCTTCCTGGGAAGGCTACCTTGTTCCTGGACCCAGTATGGCTTTGGCCCTTGTTTACCTGTAATATCGGGGGTAGGGTGCCATTAGGTACCAGCTGGATGAGCCTGAAGAGCACCTAACCCAGAGTCTGCTAGGCCTGAGTTTAGTACTAACCCTACTTAACCTTTCTCGGTTCTGTAAGCCTTGGGGTTCTCATCTGTGAAATGGGCATGGGAATCATACTTGAGGTGGTTACCAAAATTAGGACATGAGGACCCAGAGTCATCCGCCTTATGCGAAGACTGCTCCTTAGGGTGATTGTGTCCACAGTCCTTGGCTTCCCAGGAACCATCCAGCCTAGCACCCACTTGCATTATGACCACTAGAGGGTGTGTGCAGCAGGGGCCCAGCAAGGCAGGGCCTGGGAGTTACAGCCTAAGGGCACCCTACTACAAAAGGAGCTCCAGTTCCTGGGGGTATAGGAGAGGTGGAAGCTGGGGTTCCAGCTGCTGCTCCCCAGGGGTATGTAGCCGAATCACTAACAAAGTAAATCACAAAGAAGTACCTCCAACCCCTCAGATTCAAATCTGCCCCACTCCCTTATTCTAGTTTTTCCCCCAAAGCACCCTGTGCTTCCTTCCCCTTTACAGTGCTTCTCATAATTTACAACCATACAATTCCTTGTCATTCTACTCTGTCTCTGGAAGGGAAGCCCATGCGGATAGAGATGCTGAAACTCACAGGCACAGGCACCCACAGCAGCACTGAGGGCGTAGTCAGAAGTAGACCATTTGATGCTTTCCGTCTGTGCCCTCAAAGAAGCTAATTCACACAAGACAGCACCTGCCCCATTCTTTTTTTCCCCAGTCCCTAGCATTATGCCTGTCATATAGTGGGCACTCTAAATATTTGTCATGTATGTAAGTTGAAAACTCCCACTTCACCAAGCTCTATACTCATTATCATCCTGTACCAAACACTTACACACACTAGCTTATCAAATACCCCCAACCATCCAATGAAAAAGTTATTCTTACTAGACTTGATTTTTTAGAGAAGGAAACAGGAAAGTTAAGTAATTTATCTCTGGTGACACAGCCAATAGGCAACAGAGTTGGGACTTGAACCCAGGGCTGCTTAAAGTAAGTATTCATCTTCTTAACCCCTGGTCCTAGAGAAGAAAACATGCTTCTTTGTCCTTGGGAAGTTCCCACAGTAGCTGGGAAGATAAAGGGCACAAAACAGAAATTATACGAGGCAGAACTTGCTTCTTGGTGTTGGGAATGGGTGGGCTCCAGGGCCACAGCTTATGAATAGAGGGAGTCTGGGTCTCCTCTCACTGCAGTCAGATGGACTGGCAGGGAGACTGACTCATCCTAACCCACTTTATAAGAGACTGATGAATAAAGCAAGACCCCACTCATTAATTCTCATGGAGAATAACTAAATCCCCAGCTGGCCAAAGCGATAGTGTCTGCCCCTATGGAAGGTAAATCTACTTGGCCAAGATGACCCAAAATGGGGGAGTTGGGAACCCCTTGGGTGGTAGACAACCGTTCTAAGGCTTTGGTGAATGCTATGGACCCTCTCTCTCTCATAAAATGTACATGTGCATAAATAGAACTTTGTACTCACTCATTCAACACATACTTATTTAGCTCTTATTGGTGGTAGGCTGTGCTCTGGGTGTTAGGAACCCTGCAGTAGGAAGACAGCTGGGAGGACAGACAGACCATAACCCAAATAATCAGGTATAAAGTGTTTTGGAAGGTAAAGGCACCAAAACTGAAAATAAAGCAGAGAAGGGGAGACAGAAATGTTAGGAGAGGGTAGGTGCCCTTCAGAGGACGGAGTCAGGCAACACTTCCCCAAGAAGGTGACATTTGAGCAAGGTCTTGATGGTGGTGGGCAAACGAACCACTGTGACACTATCTGGAGGAAGAATGTGCCAGTCACAGAGAACAGCAAGAGTCCTGAGGTGGAAGCATGCTTAGCATGTTCCAAAACCAACAAAGAGGTGATGATATGGAAGACATACTGAAGGGCAGGTTAGGTTCTTACAGGACATTCTTGGCTCTTGGGCTTGTCCTCTGAGCGGGCTAGGAGCCCCTGGGTTCTGGTGCAGGGCAGGAGCCTCCTTGTTTTAACTGGCTCCCTCTAGCGGC